CTTTACTTCAGGGAAAGCAGCAGATGCCCCTGTCTTGCGTGCAGAGATCGCAGTCCTACTGGCGAAGGACGCGATAGAGCCGGTTCCTCCAGCCGATATGAGGTCGGGGTTTTACAGCCCTTACCTAAGATGCTCACGCAGAAATGGATCTTTAGGTGTATCCGTCCCCAAGATTGGTTCACAGAGATTGACCTGAAGGACGCGTACTTCCATGTTTCGATCCTTCCGCGCCACAGGCCATTCCTGAGGTTTGCATTCGAGGGGCGGGCATACCAGGGCATACCTTCGGGCTGTCCCTTTTGCCCCGTGTCTTCACGAAAGTTACGGAGGCAGCCCTTGTTCCCATGAGAGAACAGGGCATTCGCATTCTCAACTACCTCAATGATTGGCTCATACTCGCTCAGTCTCAGGATCAGTTGTACGAACACAGGGATTTGGTACTTTCACACCTCAGCCTGTTGGGCCTTCGGGTCAACTGGGAAAAGAGCAAACTCTCCCCGATGCAGAGGATCTCTTTTCTCGGTATGGAGTTGGACTTGGTCGGACAGACAGCACGCCTCACGCCGGAACGTGCTCAGTCAGTGTTGAACTGCTTGAATACATTCAAGAGCAGGATGGCGGTCCCAGTGAAACAGTTTCAGAGGCTCCTGGGGCATATGGCAGCTATGGCGGCAGTCACGCCACTGGGGCTGCTCCATATGAGTCCGCTGCAGCACTGGCTCCATGGCCGAGTCCCACGGTGGGCGTGGCAATGCGGCACTCTCCGGGTCCAAGTTACACCGGCCTGCCGCCAAACCTTCACCCCGTGGTCAGACCTTGCGTTTTTCCAGGCACGAGTCCCCCTAGAGCAGGTCTCCAGGCATGCTGTGGTTTGCACGGATGCCTCGACCACCGGCTGGGGGGCCACGTACAACGGGCTTGCAGTGTCAGGGGTCTGGACGAGGCACCAACTGCACTGACACATCAACTGTCTCTCCATCCCCAGACGGTCCAGCTGGTTTGGAGACGTTT